TATTTTAATTGAACGGTCCTGTTTTTCTTTACTGCATAAAAGAAATAAAACCTTGTTAGAGATGAACTATACAGAATAAAATATTTCGTATGGTTTAAATATTTCTATCTATCTTTTAAATGTTTCAAAATTTGGGTATATTATTAATTTAAATAGTAAAATATTAGAAAGTGTTCTTTGTTAGAAATAATCTAATATGCATTAGGCCACAGGAATTTCGGCACAAGTGACCGAATCGCCGGTCCGAGTCATCGTCGGTGTTAAAAGCGCGTTCCGCGCTTTCGCGCTCACATGGCGTTTTACGCGTGGACTTAGAGAGACGGCGAGATTTGCGTGGATTAGAATGTATGCGGGGCCCTATCGCATTTTATGTTTGCGCCTTGCGTGGGTTATCTTGGCGTCATCGATTCTTTAAAAATAATTTACGCAAATCGCGATGACACACATGCTATTTTTCCCGTGAATCTCTTTCACTAGGTCCGAGTTTTGGCAACAACGCTACCACGAAGAAGAAAGAGAGAGATAGAGAAAGAGAGAGAGAGAGAAAGAGAGACAGAGAGGAAATCGACGCTATGATCCTTAGCGCATCATTCCGCGCGATTTAATTTGCAGCTCGTCGAAATTAACATTGTGATGCAGCCCGAACAGCTCGTTATTTGACACAAGCAGCGTGCCTGAATGCAGGAAGAGTAGCAATTATCTCGCGTTAAACGAACTGTCCCGTCGTCAGTGGAAGTCGTAAAAAATTGCAAACCTGCTGTCGAACATTATTAATGCGAAGGATAAACCGGTGCAACTACGATCTATTTAAAAATATTATGATCGCGCGCTGTGTTGCGCCGCCGCAAACATTCTACTTTATCACGCGAATTTTTCGCATAGATTTCAAGCAGCGAACGAGTAACATTACGAGGACGACGTCATATTATTTCATGTACAAGTTTTGAGTCCAAAAATTTCCTATTGCAAACCATTCACCAGAGACAAACAAGCGTCAGTTGTTTAGTAAAAATTTAAAAATTCTCTCCCGAGATACCTTTTATCGGGGAAAAATATCGACTTCAGATGTTACCAGCCGTAGAGTTCGTAGTGAGGAGAGGCAATTAGCGTGACATTGTGCGCATCGTGTATTTAACCCATTAACGCCCAAACGACGCGAATTTTAAGTAATTTTTCACCGAGTTTTCTTTTATGCTATCGGTCTACAAAAAAATTTTACAGGCTCTTTTCCGACGTAAAATTTCATGTTCTTTCAGAATCCAATGTCAAAATTGCGATTAACTCTGAAGGAAAAAAATGGCCGATTTAAACGTGAAAAACGTGAAAATTTTCAAAACATTTTTTTTTCTAAATTTTTTTTTGAAATAATATCGCAAAGGTGTCATCTTTTAATCATGATCAGAGGTGATCATGGGGGTTGAAGATTAACAGGAAATTTTTATATTAATAGTGAATAACTTATTTTTCGCAAAATGGCGTCGAGAATGTGAAAATTTTATTAAAATCTTAACTTATCGTTTTCTTGAAAACTAGAGACTTTAAGAAAAAGTTTCTAAGAATAATAATGTCTTAGAATTAGTCAAGGAACACTCTAAAATTTTTTTCAGAATTTTTGCAGACAATTTTTGTTTTTCTTATAAATTCGGGAAATCCAATTTTCCAAAAATGTCTTTAAAAATTCTGAAAAAATTTGAGAGTGTTCCTTGACTGATTCTAAGACATTTTTGTTCTTAGCAATTTTTTTCCAAAGTCTATAGTTTTTGGGAAAAAAATTCTTTTATCCTTCAATTTGGCAAAAAAAAAATCTTCATTTTTATGTATACAAACATGTATACCGACGGACATGTGTCTTTCTTTAATTTCTCTCTCTCTCTCTTTCTCTCTCTCTCTCTCTCTCTCTCTCTGCGTGCGTGTGGGTGAATAGATGTGTGTATCTGCAATACGCATATACAATTGGCAGACCGCCGATTGAAAGTGCGCGAGATAGCTGAAGCAGTAGGCATCTCAAAAGACCGCGTGGGTCATATCCTGCATGAAATTTTGGTCATGAAAAAGCTGTCGGCACGATGGGTGCCGCGGTTGCTCACTCCGGACAACAAGCGCAACCGTGAGACCACTTCAGAGCAGTGTTTGACGCTGTTTAAGCGCAATCCGAAGGAGTTTCTGCGTCGTTTTGTGACCGTCGACGAAACATGGATCCATTGGTACACACCAGAGACCAAGGAACAGTCAAAACAGTGGACTTCACCCGACGAACGTGCTCCGAAGAAGACGAAGACTGTGCTATCGGCCGGAAAGTTGATGGCCACCGTATTCTTGGATTTACAAGATGTGATCTACATCGACTACCTG